AGCTCTATTTCCAGCCTCTTTTGCAAACTTGTTTACATCCAAGCACGGGTGAAACTGCCGATAGCTTGTCTCTGCAATCAGCCTTCCTCTAATTGGTTTGTTCAGCTTCAGCTGACGTCAGTTACATCAGGCTCGTGACTGGAGGAAGTCTGTTTGGGAGTTTGGGAGACAAGCTATTTCACTCGTGATTGGAGGCTCATGGTTGGAGGAAGCCTGTTTGCAGAGTCAAGCTATTTCACTCGTGATTGGAGGCTAGCAATAGGAGGAAGCCTGTTTGCAGGCACGGTTCTCTCCTCGGCTGATTTCCTTGAATAAGACGCCCTTCAATTTTTAGCATAAGGATTTTGGAAACAAATATCGTCTTATAGTCAGAAAAATACGGTATTTACACCAGACGTTCCACTGGTAAGATGAGTGGCTGTATAAATTTGTCAAGTCAAGTCCAGTTCACATATAGAAGTTTTTTGTTTGGGCCTTTTAGCTTATTTTCTTTCTTTTGTGTTTTTTTTAGTCCTTGCCTTGGTGCTTTGTTTATAAAAAGCCATTTTAAAAAGCTGACCAAGCCACATACCTCACCAGGAAGACCTTCACTTGCATATAGATTAGCTAACAGCCCAAATTCACAATCATTATATAGGGAGCTGTATTTTTGCAGCAGACAACCGTCATCCTCAGGGTTGATCTTGGCTATATAACTTCCATTGATCGCTGCTTTTTTTTCCTTTTCAGCTTGAACAACTGGGATAAACTAGAGTGAAACAGATAAACAACATCTTCAAACAGATCAGCATTATCTATCCTCATTTCAGTTACTAAAACAAGCAGCACGTTTTGTTTATAACTTATTCCATCGGAGAAAGTCAGCTACTGCGGTTTGAAAATCATGGTTTATTTGTTAGCAACCTACCCAATAATGGTTTATTCAGTAAATCCTTTACTCATACTATGGCTTAGTCTGAGGTGGGATTAAGGCTTCATCTTAAACACAGAGAAAGCCCAGAAAAAATCAGTGGGGTTGAAAGCCTATTAAAAGAGAGTAGATTTAAACAGGATCTGAACCTGATGAAGTAAATCACATTTTAAAGGGAATTTTATAGCATAGTGTTGCAATTCTTGTAACAAAATTAAGACAGAAATTGAGATCAGTGCTGATAGATTCACATCAATCCTCCAAGTTTATGTTAAAGTTATTCAGCTGAGATCAAACTGGGGGTATATGCAGAGTTGTCAAAAATATCACAATGCCAGCCATCACCATGCAATAAAAACTCCAACTCCCCCCCCTTTTTTTTTTACATGCACTGCCTCCTAGATCAAACTACGATCGATTTGCCTTTGGCTTAGTGCAGCTTGTAAATCATTTGGAGAGCCAGTTTGGTGCTGGGCTACAAACCAGCAGACTCTGAGTTCTCGTCCTGCCTTAGGCATGAAAGCCAGCTGGGTGACCTTGGGCCAGTCCCTCCCTCTCAGCCCAACCCGCCTCACAGGGTTGTTGTTGTGGAGAAAATAGGAGGTGGGACGGTAATTTACGCTACCTGGGGTTGTACAAAATAAAGGTGGGATACAAATTTTATTATGACTCAGGCTTACTAAGGACCAGGTTACACATAGCATTAAATAAGCCTCTGCCTTCAGCCTGAGTTTTTTCACAAAACAGAAATTCTAGCTGATGCAAGTAAGCCTATCCATTAGAGGCAGAGATGAGCTTAATGCAGTCTAAGCTCAGATCATCCCAGATCAACATCTCTACCAAGCTCCTTTTTTAACATATACCCTAAGGCAGGGTTCTTCAACCTTGGCAACTTTAAGACGGGTGGACTTCAACTCCCAGAATT